GTTTCCCTTTGTTAACAAAGGGGCTATCTTTAGGAATGTGCCTTCCAAAACCTATACAGAAATCTTCCACAAACTTCTCAACATATTCAGTGTGTTCCTTCAGCTGCCCTGGTGTGTATCTGTTCTTGACATTAACTTTAGATGCAATATATTTCACAAATTCTGTTAAACGTTCTATTCCATTGGCGTTTGAAGTTAATATTTAACTGCTCAAGGGTTTAATCATTTTCTGCATGAAAGTGAAAGAATGATATAGAGTTGAAAATGAATAATGCACAAATTTATTAGCAAAACTATGATGTTTTATCTTAGGAAAATTGAGTTAGAATAAAATCTTAAAGCAACCATGTGTACAAATTCAGGCTACATAGCATGTACATGTAGTTTCGATAGCTCAAGTAGTAAATGAGTGTGAGCAGGGGATCTTTTAAGCACAGGTCTTATTTTTTTAAAGGCACCATGCAAAGTTTTAAGAATGGGTTCGAGCAATATAATACTGACCTGGCCCGTAGCTTTGTGGGGGGGGGGGTTAGAATAGGTTTGAGGAACCCCTACTGGCCAAAAGATCCTTCAAAACCATGCAGATTTTCACCATTTGAACTCATTTCAAAATTGTCAAATTTGAACTACCTCCCTCAAGAATTAAAAATTAATCCTCTTGGCAAAAGCTAGCTATTGAATATGAATGTATTATATGTCAGCTATGACCATATGTGGTTTTAAATTTTCTGACTTTATATTCTATAGAGACAAGATCAAATAACCACTTTGATTTGAAGAGTGAAGCTTAAGTCAAACTCTTATAAAGAGTAAATGCTGCAAGACATGACAAAATAATAATATCAGTAAAACATATTGACATTTCATTTCTATAAATCTGGACTTGAGGCATTATACTATGAACCCTTGTATTATATCAACCTACTCAATTAACTGCAACCTTATTGATACACCTCTCCAGAGATCCAGCATCTTATCGTGAATCAAAAAGAGAAATCAATGCTTTTTGAGTAAGATCTGTTTTAGTATCACCATGTTGTCCCAAATGTAAGATTTTTAATTGACCCCTTGATCACAACTAAAATATAATATACAATATTTGAATTTTGCAAATGAAAATTTGTTATTTATTTAAAAATTAATGTATGACCCAATAATGATTAATTTTTTTTCTTAGGGTGTACATTGGTACATTGACCTATGTTCCTGATATAGGGCTCAGTCAATTATTAATATATAATACAGTAGTTGTTCTGGATTAATGGGTTCATAATATGCATTTGTTTGGATCAAATCATGACATAGTTCATGATGAAGAATCATTACTTCAGGGGTGCCCCCTATAGATCTGTACTCCCGCAGATTATGCACATAGTGGTATCTTTTGTTTTGCAATTGATCAACTCATTCATCAGATTTTCATGGCAGGGTTATTAACCAAATACACTGGTGTAGCATGGGTATTTTGTGAGTGTATGCCACGAGTGAGCGAAACGAAAATCTTTGAGGGGGGTTTTGGGTTGGGTTCTCCCCCCAAGAAAATTTGAAAATGAGTTTGCAATTGAAGCGTTGGGCATTTTAAAATACGAAATTCCGACTAATCATGGACTAATAAAATGTAAAATATTGGCCATTTTTATCCATGTTTAAAGTGTTGGGCAATTCAATCTAAAAATCAAGTTTTCTCTAAATTTTGAGAGTATGCCATGGCGTTTTATGCATATATGATGCTACGCCATTGAAATACCCTGGAATCCAGAATCTAGTAATACTTTTAAATAATTACTTCTGTGGACTAGAGTACATGAACAGATTTACAGCCAACAAAAATTCAAGATACAGAGGTTATATAAAGGGTATAAATCAAAATTGCTGAATCAGAAAATATAATATGCCCATTAAAGCAAAATATTTGATAACTAAATATGTCAGGTAAAATCTTATGAATCAGTGAGTTGAAACTTGCTATTCAAATGCATGAAGTATCATATTGATACCAAATCAGTTGAGACAAAATCTTGTGAATCAGTGGTTTGGCTGCATTAGGTACTATCCTATTGAATACTGTTCCCTATTGATTTAGTAGAATATAATGTTTCCCTAGAAGCTGAGAGTGGTACAGAATCCCCAAAATCAATACTGCAATTACATTATCAATTCAAGCTGACGTATGTTAAATCTCTCGCAAAATAACCATGTTACTAGATGCAGATCTGTCTGTGATGTGAACATTATTTGAACTTGATAGCAACATTAATAATAGTTTAAGGAAATAAGTTTCTTATAGCTATTAGGTAATTTAAAAAGATCATAGATTATTACACGATGAGAAATAAGGGTTGGTCTTAGTTTTGAGATTACACAATTGTCTGTATAATATCTGCTTTATTTAGACTCCTTTAATTATTTGAATTATTTGTTTTAAAAATATTGAGATAAAATATCACATTTTGGAAATAAGGAATTATGCTCCCTTTTTAATATGGTCTTGGTCTGTTGTGCTGGAGTAAAAAAAAGAAAAATTGTAATTAGCTTAGAATATAAATCAATGGAGAGACAGAGACAATATTTGGTTTGAACCCAAATTACATTTATTCTGGAAATCATGGAAGACCATTCCATGCAGAAATGGGCAAGAAGGAGCTTACCAAAGGTCAACAAGGTATATCAAGAGAAAGCATTCAATCATATGGTGATTCTGGTCGAGAATTAATGCAAGCCGAAATGAAGAAGCACTATGAAAATACAAGTACCATTGTCTAGTATATATTTTTGAGTTGGGCATCAGGGTCCAGTTGGCATTTGACACATTATTGCCTTGTTCATTTCTTGTCAGATTTTGCCGTTTTACTTAAAATCCTTTATAATAATATGTAATGATTTTTGTCAAAGTAGTAAACATGGACCCATTACACACATTTTAAAAGAAGTAGATAAATGAAAAATCCTGCAACCGATTAGCTGTTCATACAGGGTGTCCAAAAAACAGGACCGTAAGAAAGTTGCATAACTCAGTCAATTTTGCATATTTTGCCTTGAAATTTCAGAATTATTTAGTTCAATGTGAATTTTGTTGTGAAAGTTTGATAATAATCTGCCAATTGAGTCAAAAACTGAAGTTCCATATAAAACATGCCCCAAATGTGCACCTCTCCCCTCTATGCACAATTCAATCCAGCGAACAAAGTTGCTGATGATCCTCCTACACACATGGCTTTCTGAATAGACAAGTTTATTCCAAGAACAATTGCTACTGGGGCTTACATCCTCCTGATGAAGTGTTACAGCATCCATTGCATTCTGAACAATGCACTGCCTGTGTGGCATTGAGCAAACATGGAATCATCAGTTCTTTTTGGTTCGAAGATGACTGGGGACGTGCTATCACCAGTATATTCAAGTTTTCATAACGTTTTGGAGGGTACTAAAGCATCAGAAGGGGCATCTAAGGAGAAGGCAGTGGTTTCAACAAGCCAATACCACCCCAACACTGCAAATGATATGCTGAAATGGTTTAGGCAATGCTTTTGTGGTCAGCTCATCAGTCGCAGAATGCAAACCATATGGGCAGTTCATTCGCCAGACCTAAATCTCCCAGATTTTTATCTCTGGGGATTTCTCAAAGCCAATGTATATACTGACAGGCCCCTAACAATCTTAAGAGGGCAATAACTACTCCAAAATTTACCATCCGCATTGATGTGTACAGGTCAGGGTCATTAACAACTTTGTTCGCAGGATTCATTTGTGCATAGATACCCACTTTGAGCATGTTTTGTAAGGTACTGTAGTTTTTAACACAGTTAACAGATTATCATCAAACTTTCAGACCAAATTCACATTGAATGAACTAAATAATTCCAAAGTTTCATAGCAAAATATGCAAAATTGACCAAATTATTCAACTTTCTTATGATTCGGTTTTTTGGACACCCTGTACTTAGATAATTGGTTGCTCATGCTTGAATAATTTGCTATTCAGGTTTAAATAATTGGCTGTTCATGCTTTAATAGTTGGCTGTGGTGTTTTCTGTGCCACAGAGAATGCAGAAAAGATATCAGCCAATAGATTTGTATTTGTTGGCTTTTAAAGCGAAGAAAGGTTTGACTGACATACCTGTACAGTTCTTGTAGATGGCTTATGTAATCAAGTTCCATTATCTATAGCCTTAATCCCAAGACTGTTAGATTCACTGGTCTGTGATGTCATCAAAGACTTTCTTTCTGATTAAATTTTTAGCAATTTGTTGTCTGATTAATCGTTAATGCCATACTCTTTGACATTTCATAACAACAACATTCAGAAGGAAGATTTGGATAGATAAAAGATTTACTTTTTTCTTTCGCACGAATATCAAATTGCATAATTAAACTAACTATAAATAAGGTACATGTTCACCCAACCATATTGGCCTATCTGTAGTTTTGTAGCTGCCTTAGTCCTCAATTGACACATTTATGGAAAATGTAAGGACTCTAATATTTGACTATTCTATGTTAACAAAATGTGTGTAATTTTGCACAATTTCTAAAAATATAAAAACCAAAGCCTCTAAAAATATAAAAATGGTTAACATTTGTGATCATTTCATTGAAATTTTTTCGCTTTTCAGTAAATACAGTAAGGAAAGAGTAGAAGAAAATTCTTCCTACCAACATCTAGTTTTTGGGCAATTTTTGTATATATACTTACGTGGGAGGACTTGGGTTCAATGAAATATCTAGGATTTATGAGAAGGGGTCCTAAATTGTTTCTGCTCTGGACTACTGCTCTTACATCTTAGATGTAATTAACGAGCTCTTGATTGCGTTAACAATTACAATGCTGTAATGTTACTTATAAATATATTCTCCAGAGCCTTGTATAATGTAGATACATGTGCAGTTGATCTGTCCACTTTCTTAATCCATCAGTGTGTATTGATCCACTATTTGTAAGGTATAATACGCTATGCTGGCTGATTCGTAATATAAGATCAATATGTGTTATTTTCTTCCAGATTAGATGAGACGGTTTAGCCATCAGCCAACATGGACGCATTGAGAGGGCTTGGCCGACAACTCAGCCTATCTAAGAACCCAGAAGCAGAAAAGGAACGACCTGAAGTTGCACGTCGTAAAAGCTTCTCGGAAGAGACTTCAAATTTCTTCAGTTCGGTAGTTGATAAGAAAAATGGACTATTTGGTGGGATATCTAACACTATAAATGACATAACTTCTAAAGTACCAGGACGGAAATCTGCGCCTCAGTCTCCCGTCCACCAGGGGGGAGATGGGCATGATGGTGTCCCAAGGGCACCGAGTGAACCGGACATGAAAAGCCCTGCTGAGGGGGAGAATGAACAGTATAGTATGAAGGGGAAAAGCCAATCAGTTGATATGGGAAGTATTGGTGATCATTATGGAAAGAATTACACCAATAGCAGGACAAATAAGGAAACTGTAAATACTGATGAGCTATCTAAACTGACCAATCAAATTGTAGAACAGTTCGGTAGTTTTGGCACAGATGCAACTGAGGAAGCAAATCCAGCAGATCGTGCTGCCCTCTTTAAGAAGGCAGGTGATCCAGAGCCTGTATCGGAGGCAAATGTTAAGCACCCAAGAGGGAGTCAATCCACGGAACCTGTGCCTGTACCTGTATACTCTGACCCCAGCGCCCCCCAAGGGTACCCACCCCCTAGTCAACCACAGATGGGGTACCAACAGCCCACCATCCCACCAGCATCACAGCAGTCATATGGCCCATCACAGCGCAAATCTTATAACCCCTTTGCTAACGATCCACTTCCACCAGAGCCAGCCAAGCCACCCAGGGTCTCTACAAACCCCTTTGTACAGCGTAAACGACAAAACAGTAATCCCTTTATAGACCAAGATGAAGATGAACCACCCAAGACCCCTCCCCCACGACCTCCTCTCCCCAAACAGCTCTCTGCTGGCTATATAGATGTCTCTAAACTAGAGGATATTATGTCCCAACCAAAGCAACCCACCGCCAATAGAGAATCAAAGGCCCCACCTCCATTAAAAAAACGAGACTCCTTAATAGACATTTCACCCATTGATGAGACTAAAACTGCAGAAAAAACACTAGTCAAAGAAGGTACGGATTTACTCACTGCAGATAACCAGGAAATATTCAGCGAAAACCAAAATAAATATGGCGTGCACCATCAAGCAGATGTTCACCATGATTTAAACGGCAAAAAACAGCGATCACCTCCACACTCAAATTTGATGGATTTCCCAACAGGGGGTGGGAGTGTTGAGTATAATACTTACGACGGTTCTTCCGATGGGTCATCAGAGTTTGGCGGAGATGACCCGCGTGATCGTGCCGATTCTATAGACTCTCAGTCATCGTTCAGTGAGGAGATTTTCATGGATGAACAGTCTAAGGAGATTGCTGGATACATGAAACTCTTCGTGGATAAAATGTTTGATGCAAAGTAAGTACGAGGCTATTCAATAAGTTCTGAGAAAATGTTTTTTTATCAAGCATTGTGTGACTTGTACTATTTCAGATGTCTTATTGAAATTCAAAAGGTACATGTGGTCAATTCAGTTTGGAACATGTACTGGTAGCAGATTAAAAATAACATTTAAGGTTTAAGTACAAACCTATGTTCACAGCTGAAGTCAAACAAATGCAAAGGTTTTTTATTAGTATTTATACCATACTTGGATGTGTTACAGGTACATAAAGCTGGTTTGTAAAAACTTATATTTTCACCAGTGGGCAGATATAGCTTTATGTCCCGCTCCGAGCGGACAGATATAGCATATCTGCCCGCTATGTCATAATCGCAGTTCGCATATTGGTTCATTTTTTGTAACGTTTGCAGACAATCGCGATCTTTTTGATGCTTTGAGGAAGGGAAGGAGCAATATGCCCTGTTAATAATCAAAAATCTAAAGAACAGGAAAATCAGGCCATGCTCAAGAGAACAAAACTGGACATGAATATTCTAAAATAATTCCACGAAGTTGCAAAGTTTCTAAACTGTGGCCTATTGAACATTGTGAACCAAATGACCAAGTATGGGATAAACAGATCATCCTATAGTCGGTTCAGGATATTGGGATTATCCCTTGGCCAATATGATATATCTTCCCTCGGGATCTACGGCCCTCGGGCAGATATATTATATTGGCCTCGGGATAATCCCAATATCCTGAACCTCATATAGGATAATCTCTATTTATTCCTGAATTCACTTGTTTCTTTTCTATTTAGATAAATAATAACCTTTTCATATGAGTAGAATTTTTAGAGCAAATATGGTTTGATTCAGTGAGAAACATTAAAAGGTCTGAGACTCGATAAATTATTAAGCATACAATGCTGTAATCAGGAACTTTAATTTGTCTTGACATCTCAGTTTTCATGATCATCCATTTGATGTCCTATAGATCTGAATGCCTTTCTTCATTGTTATTTATCTTTTGCAATTGCTAAAGATTGCACTGAAACTGAAGATAAGAACAGGGACAAAATGTTAATATAAAAGAATTTATTTTTTGGATAAATTAAACATGCCTGATCTAATATGCTCATGTCCATTTTATAGGGTCCATACTGGACGTATACACAATTGGTCTTCTATTTCAACCCCATTCAGAGAAACCAGCTCCTTTTTTTGTCAGATATCACACTTTTTTACAATATACAATACTCAGCAAGTGATCCCACTGAATGAGTTTTCGTAGACTAGAAATGGCAAGAGTGAGTTAATTATGAGCAATTGGCTGACAAGGAAGGAAGAATCAATATTCTAAAGGTTTCTAAATTGCCAAAATTGGTCAGGAATCAATATTACGTACATGTAGCTATGACGTAAATGTATCTTTCTTCTCAAGAGTAAACGATTACGTACAAACTTCTTGTCTTTTCTTGGTCTTTGCTTAATAGAAAACAATGTCATGTGGTGGCTTTTTGAGGAAATTTTGTCATGTAGCTTTTTAGGTAGGGGTGGAGGTTCCCAAGGTATCTCCAGAGGGGACTTCATTGACTAGGAGAGCCAGGATTTGCCAAGGGGGTTCACTTTTTAAAAAAGTCCAGGGGGGTTCATTTTTAAGAACTTTGGCCCAAAATTGGCCAAATCACATAAAAAATTCTCAGAATGGTGAAATACTGCATGATTTTGAAAGAATTTTTGGGGTTGGCTAAAGGGATAAACTCTATATTTAAACCTTGTAGTACATAGCTACTAGTGGTGCAACTCGAATGCCAGTACTCGCCACTCACTCGTTGTACCTGTCCAAGATAGTTACTCGAGTACGTTTTTTCAAACTCGAGTAGGCATTGAATTCCCAAACAACGATCTCATACCCCGGGAATGATCATTTTTGGATGCACTGAACGAAACAAAGTATCTATTCCGGAAACAAAATGAAAATATTTAAAAACAAACAAACAAACACAATTATGGCATGAATAACTACATTTATTCTCACTAAATTGATACAAACTATATATAACATCAATAACATATAGAAGAAACGAAGAAATTGTATCTATTTGGTCTTCAAACAGTCGACTAGGTGAGTTTTTTATTTTTTTAAATTTTTCCCTCATTTTTGCGAGTGGTACTCGATTACAGTGGCATTTTCACACTTTCTACTCGAGTAGCATTTTTCTTGCGAGTTGCACCACTAATAGCTACAGTGTATAATGTACTTTATATATATAAACTTACTTTACCTCCAATAGAATATACACCCATACATGTACATCCCATATCCCATATATACATGTACTTAAATTAATTATCTTCATGTTGTTTGACTTTCAAAATGCTTGGGAAATACAAATAGAGTTCACCAAAATTCTTAAAATCGCGGATTCGGTAGTATTGAATCTCTAATAAAGATGGCGCGAAAGTTTTTCCTTATAAGGTCAAAATATTTCCCATGATGCAGTTCGCGGGGGAACAAAATTTTTCTACCTTGTTTTTCCCCGTTGGTTTAACATGGGGATTTTCATACCCATTTTTCAAGCGATATTTTCGATCGAATCTCCATGCGATCGGAGAAAACAAACTATCAGAAACAATTAGTCTTTTAATAATCTTTATATAACATATATTTTTTTTCATTTTATTGGCTCCTAACGGGGTGAAAACAATGATTGAAAATGGGAGTATATTCCGGAAGAGAAGAAGTCACGTGACTAGTCGCCATATTGGAAAAAGCAATTCCATTCGACTTTCAACACGTTCATGCCAATATTACCGCACTACAAACTGTAACATCGATGCAACAACTGAATAAAAGTACTCATCTTCATATTACATTATAGAGTTACGTTGAAAACCCACAAACAACTGAGCATTTGACCAAAGAAGACACGTCGCTATTATCTAGGTCAAGTTTAGTGGTTCGAAAGCAAATCTTACATACTCGTTTCCGAATTTTGTTGTTAATTGTATAATCTTTTATTGATTAAATCTGGTATACTGACTATTAATTCAATGACAAAGAAGAAGAATTCCGATGGTGTCATTTTTTTATTTAGCTTGCGGGTGTAAAAACAAAATTGCGTAATTAATTTGATTTAGAACTTTCGGGTCTCACAAATAGCTACACGAAATGCATCGTTGAAAAATATTGACCAATCAAATTTTGTCCTTTTTGAGTACATATATGCACCATATATGCGAACGTTCTGATTCAAAGAGCGAACAGCGAAATGGAGAATTGAGAAGGGACTCCTGAGATACATGTAGTTGAACAAGTACAACAATGCTCCTTCCACTCTCTTGATACATTATTCATCAAAAGGCTTCATTGCTCTTTCAGTTATGAAAAGCATTGAAATACTCTTGCATCAGAGATGCCTTAAATTGATGTGATGTAAATTGTATTCCCACATGTGACTTAGAGTTTCAATCTTATATATGGAACACAGGTCAGTTTCCTGTGAAGATTGAAGGTCTGTGAGGAATAGAATTAGAACTGTTGGACACCTTAGAAAAAAGTTGTAACATGCAATGATGAGATCAAAATATATTGTCATAAAATTGTGAGTTTTTTTAATCTGAATTTCAACTCATCTAAATCTTTTCTATTCCCTTTAATTTACACCCATTTATGAAGAAGCTCTAAATGAATGCAAGCTTCTTCTACAGATGAAGAACCCAATTTTATATATTTATGAAAGAGTCTGCCTTGTAGAGAAATCAATAGTTATTGATTATCAACTCCCAAATGAAGTCATATCTTTAGCAGACCTCTCTTCTGAATCTTGATCAATTTCTTCATTAACACATTCTCTAAGTCACTGGCTTCCAAAACCTTATCTTCAATGGTGTGACATTTTGCTATATCTTGAGTTGAAGTTTGAAATTGATTTCCTATTTCCTATTGGGGTTTGAGTTTGTTTTGATGAATCGCTTTGACAGACAAATATATCTTTAGACTACAGAGTAATATCCAGCATGATTAAAATCTCTCAAGTCTGTTTATCAACATATCATCAAAATTTAAATGAACTGACTGATTTCTTGCATTTCTATATGATAAAGGAATATAAGCGTCAGATTAGTTTACTTTATTTCTTATTTTTTTTTGTTATCCTCTCAATTTTTCATCCAAAAACACAATTTCTGCGAAAGTTATACCGAAGGGTCTATTACGCTGCAATGAATATTAAACGTGGTACAAAGAACATTAGGTAATCAGGCAGATGTTTTTGATAAAAAATATTCTTTCAAAAGTGATTTACCATTCAAGTTGCTCTTTTATATTATTCCTTGCGTAGGCCTGAATTAATGCCTTTCATTGAGCTTTATTGTTTGCCCAAAATTATGTCATATTTTACTGCCAACTTCCATATTTTATTCATTAAGAGAATAAGATTATATATCGACGATGTATATTGAACATGAGAGAAAATTCTCAAAAAATTGAATTTCACCATTGATGGACTTCCAATCATAAAATATCCGCTAGGATGTTTAGATACTTGTAACGCATCGTTCGCATAGTTCACTTTAATTATAACTAGACATGTAAATTGAACAAGTTCAATTTAAGACTCCAGATTTCAAACTTTTTTTTAAGCTGAGTCATCCAAAATACTGTAAGCTGAGACATTCAGAATAAGCTGAGTCATCTAGAATATAGACATTCAGACAACTCTTAAGTAGGTTATCTTCGACTCCATTGGCTTAACATGGGGACATAATAATATCGACTTTTCGAGATTTCAAACCGCTGTAACTTTCTAACCAAAAATTGGATCGAAATTTGGTGTGCAGATTCGGATTTCTGAGAAAATTCTACGCTTGTGTCATAACTCATACATTGAATTTTGAGATCTTTTTGTGTTGACCTACTTTCCGGACGCCATTCCTAAAAATCGGCAAAGTAATCAAAAAAGACAGAAACAATAGTGAAAGGGCTGTCTTTAAGCTTCATGATGAAAAAAGATAAAGGAATAACGACAAATAGTGACAAAGATAATTGACATTATGTTAGAAATGTATGATTTGACCCAGTTCTTGACCTTGGCTTTTCAGTGTCCAAATGTTGAATTGAGGTAGCTTTTGAGGACCTATTCTATGGTAGGCTTCCATTAATTGTATTTTCATTCTGTCAGTATCTTGTATATTTAAAATTTGTAATCTTCTGCTGCCCTATTGACATAACATAGGATATCAAAATAGCAATTTCTTACTTTTCAAAACGCCATTTCTTCTAAACTGGGTGTTGGATTGAAATTTGATTTGCAGATTCAGATTCCTGAGAAAAGTTTACCCTTTATTCATAACTCATACGTTAAATTTGGAGAACCTTTCATGTTGACCTACTTTTCGGACACTATATCTCAAAAGTGGGTCAAAATTCTTTCTGACGGCAAAAGGCTAACACTATTTGCACACTCTTTGCTACCTGTATACAAAATTTTGAAGCAAATAATTCAAGTGTAGTGTCAGAATCGCAAAAATAAGTTGAAACTATAAATTTGACCTTGATTTTGACCTAGGCATTTTGGTGTCCAAATTTTGAAGCTAGATAGCTTTTGACGTCCCTTTCTTTTATAGGCTTTCATTATGTAAAGCTGTACTCAGTCTATATCTCGTGTTTTACACTTCAAAAAAATCTTTTTTCCCATTGCCATAACATGGGGCACCCAATTTAGTGATTTTTGAGATTTCAAAACGCCAAAACTTCAGAACAAGGAGTTGGATCGAATTTTGATCTACAGATTAGAATTCCTGAGAAAATTCTACCCTTAATTCATAACTCATACGTTAAATTTGGAAAACCTTTTATTTTGACCTACTTTTCGGACACCATATCTCATAAGTGGGTCAAAATACTTTGTGACGGCAAAGGGCTAACACTATTAGCATACTCTTTGCTACCTGTATACAGGATTTTAAAGCAAATCATTTGAATATAGTGTCAGAATCATAAAAATAAGGAAAAACTATGAATTTGACCTAGATTTTGACCTAGGGATTTTGACCTAGGGATTTTGGTGTCCAAATTTTGAAGCTAAGTAGCGTTTGAGGTCCCCTTCTTTAAAGGCTTTCATTATATTAAGCTGTACTCAGTCTATATGTCGTATTTTACACTTAAAAAAAATCTTTTTTCCCATTGACATAACATGGGGCAGCAAATTTAGCGATTTTTTAGCATTCAAAACGCCATAAATTCCAAACGAGGAGTCGGATCGAAATTTACGTTGCAGATTTCGATTCCTGAGATCATTCTACCCCTAATTCATAACTCATACGTTAAATTTAGAGAACATTTTATTTTGACCTACTTTAGGGACACCATATCTCAAAAGTGGGTCAAAATACTTTCTGACGGCAAAAGGCAAACACTATTAGCACACTCTTGGCTACATGTATACAGAATTTCGAAGAATATAATTAATCTGTAGTGTCAGAATCGCAAAAATAAGGAAAAACTATGAATTTGACCTAGGTTTTGACCTAGGCATTTTGGTGTCCAAATTTTCAAGCTAGATGGCTTTTGAGGTCCCCTTCTTTTAAAAGCTTTCATTATATTTAGCTGAACTCAGTCTATATGTCGTATTTTTCACTTCAAAAAAATCTTTTTTCCCATTGACTTAACATGGGCACCAAATTTAGTGATTTTTTGAGCTTTCAAAATGCCATAACTTCCGAACGAAGAGTCGAATCGAAATTTGGTTTGCAGATTTGGATTCCTGAGATCATTCTACACTTAAACCATAACTCATATGTTGAATTTGGAGAATTTCTTGTCTGACCTACTTTCCGGGCGCCATATCCCAAAATCGGTAAGAGTAATCAAAAATCTGTTGGCACACTTATGAAAGAGCTCTTTCTAAGCTACATGATGTTAAAAAGATGAAGGAGTTACGAAGAATGTTGACGAAGATATGGTGAAAAATGTTGAAAATGTAAGATTTGACCTAGTTCTTGACCTTTGACCTAGATAAAAATTTGACCTAATTTCCCAGAAAGCCGGATACAGTCTTTAGTTAACCATGTAAGTTGGATTAAGTAAGCTGTTATAGTTGACGAGAAATTTGGTGAGGAGGAAGAAAAAAGAATAATAAGAAAACAGGCAAAAACAATAGACTCCAGATTTTCAATCTGGAGTCTAATTATTACTTTTTATGAATGAAGATAGGGCCTTGGTATGCTGGGAGGCCCCAGTCTCAAATATGCTGGTCTTACTTGTTTAATTTACCAAAATAGACCCCCTAGGGGGTTAGATATTATTTACTTTACAGATTTCTAGTGCTATGGATAGAGAAATATATCTTGGATGTAGCAATCACATTTGGATTTCAGAGTAACTTGATTACTAACAAACCTGTCAAATCCTATGCTGACATATTCACTGTATTGAAAGGAAATATAAATCAACTTTATCTGAAATCTTTCCAATGAATTTCTCCAATTTTATATCCCTTGGAGAAATTTTTCTAAAACCCAAAGACTTTACTTTTGACACCAATCTACCAGACTGATTGATTCTGGTTTTGATACTGAAGATATTTTGTCCTTGAATGTTTACGCTGAGCTCAAGCAAGGAGTTCTCCCCTCTGACTAGAACAGATCAGCTTGGAGCTAACCATTCAACCAATCAGAGAGCATCACAGGATCACACACAGGTTGATTCCTTGATACAATTTTTATGTCACCATCAGAAGTGGTGACATATTATTTAGTCTCCAGCTTTTTTCGTGGATGATTTTGCATGTTGATGTCTTGAATAAATGTGTAAATATAATGCACATACTAATATGTTTCTTTCCCATTCCAGTGCCACTTTGAATATCACACAGACTGAGAAGGCAAAGTTTGGGGAGCTGTGCCGGACCCCCCAGGGCAGGATGTGGTTTTCCAGGCATGTCAATGCACAGGTATGTTCAATGCACAGGCATGTCAATTCACAGGTATGTTCAATGTACAGGCATTTAACAACATGTTTGTCAAAATATTAATTTGTTTTGCAAATCCTGTGTTTGATGACTGCTCCAAATTATATAGGTCATACTTGGTGTATTCATCCACCATTCATAAGTTGATTTAACCACACTTTGTTGGTGTTTAACTATATCATAATACATGTATACATTTTCAGAACATTAGGTTTGTAGATTTTCATGCTGAATCTTGATAGGCAAGATTTCAGTTGTCACGGTTCAAACCCCACATTGACATACTTTCGATGTACTGACTTAAAACAAAACAATTACCTACAATATTCTCAAAGCAATAAAGCTTTTTAGAAGTTTAATCAAAATCTTCCATGTCCATAAACCATAACAAATTAGTTTTACCATCTAGCAGCATGAATTTATGAATGAGATTAATTGCCTTTCGAGAGTAATTCAAGCCATGATAAATCCTGTGATTTATTACTTTACTTGGGCACAGTGACATCATATTAAATATTACCATGTTATCCATACAAATGACAAGAAATATTACCATGTTATCCATACAAATAACAAGAACGAGAAATCATATTAAATATTACCATGTTATCCGTACAAATGACAAGAACTAGTCATCATATTAAATATTACCATGTTATCCATACATATGACAAGAACTAGACATCATATTAAATATTACCATGTTATCCGTACAAATGACAAGAACTAGTCATCATATTAAATATTACCATGTTATCCATACAAATGACAAGTACTTGACATCATATTAAATATTGCCATGTTATCCATACAAATGATAAGAACTAGACATCATATTTAATATTACCATGTTATCCATACAAATGACAAGTACTTGACATCATATTAAATATTACCATGTTATCCATACAAATGACAAGAACTAGACATCATATTAAATATTACCATGTTATCCATACATATGACAAGAACTAGACATCATATTAAATATTACCATGTTATCCATACAAATGACAAGAACTAGACATCATATTTAATATTACCATGTTATCCATACAAATGACAAGAACTAGACATCATATTAAGTATTACCATGTTATCCATACAAATGACAAGAAATATTACCATGTTATCCATACAAATAACAAGAACGAGACATCATATTTAATATTACCATGTTATCCATACAAATGACAAGAACTAGAGATCTTATTAAATATTACCATGTTATCCATTCAAATGACAAGAACTAGACATCATATTTAATATTACCATGTTATCCATACAAATGACAAGAACTAGAGATCTTATTAAATATTACCATGTTATCCATTCAAATGACAAGAACTAGACATCATATTAAATATTACCATGTTATCCATACAAATGACAAGAACTAGACATCATATTAAATATTACCATGTTATCCATACATATGACAAGAACTAGACATCATATTAAATATTACTATGTTATCCGTACAAATGACCAGAACTAGACATCATATTAAATATTACCATGTTATCCATACAAATGATAAGAACTAGATATCATATTAAATATTACCATGTTATACGTACAAATGACAAGAACTAGACATCATATTAAATATTGCCATGTTATCAATACAAATGACAAGAACTAGACATCATATTAAATATACCATGTTATCCATACAAATGATAAGAACTAGACATCATATTAAATATTACCATGTTATCCATACATATGACAAGAACTAGACATCATATTAAATATTACTATGTTATCCATACAAATGACAAGAACTAGACATCATATTAAATATTACCATGTTATCCATACAAATGACAAGAACTAGAGATCATATTAAGTATTACCATGTTATACGTACAAATGACAAGAACTAGACATCATATTAAATATTACCATGTTATCCATGCAAATGACAAGAAATTGACATCATATTAAGTATTACATACCCAGCGAAGCATTTGTATTGAAGTCAATGGAGCTGAAGGTCGGCTATATATTCCTGTATAGCCACCAAACCTTTTACCATGACAATCTTATGACGTCATCGGGACGTCATGTTTCATTTCTCCCTAATTTCACTCGCACACAGACACGTGGCGTCATTGATATAACGTAGCCATGATATAAAAGTATGTAATACAACAGTTATGTCCGTATCATTGAATATATGCCTTCGGTCTGTCGTAATATAACGTAATATAGGGACATAACTGCTAAATATTACCATGTTATACGTACAAATGACAAGAACTAGACATCATATTAAATATTGCCATGTTATCCATACAAATGATAAGAACTAGACATCATATTAAATATTACCATGTTATCCATACAAATGACAAGAACTAGAGATCATATTAAATATTACCATGTTATCCATACAAATGACAAGAACTAGACATCATATTAAATATTACCATGTTATCCATACAAATGACAAGAACTAGACATCATATTAAATATTACCATGTTATCCATACAAATGACAAAAGCTAGACCTCATATTAAATATTACCATGTTATCCATAGAAATGACCAGAACTAGACATCATATTAAATATTACCATGTTATCCATGCAAATGACCAGAACTAGACATCATAATAAGTATTACCATGTTATCCATACAAATAACAAGAGCGAGACATCATATTAAATATTACCATGTTATCCATACAAATGACAAGAACTAGACATCTTATTAAATATTACCATGTTATCCATTCAAATGACAAGAACTAGACATCATATTAAATATTACCATGTTATCCATACAAATAACAAGAACTAGACATCATATTAAGTATTACCATGTTATCCATACAAATGACAAGAAATATTACCATGTTATCCATACAAATAACAAGAACGAGACATCATATTTAATATTACCATGTTATCCATACAAATGACAAGAAATATTACCATGTTATCCATACAAATGACAAGAACTAGACATCATATTAAATATTACCATGTTATCCATACAAATGACAAGAACTAGACATCATATTAAATATTACCATGTTATCCATAGAAATGACAAGAACAAGACATCATATTAAATATTACAAAATATAAATGACAAGAACAAGGCTGTCTCTGAACATATTTTGTGTGAGCTAAGTCTCTAAATGGATTATGAGATAAAAGTATTGTTTGACTTCACAATTCAAAGTCTAGCTTACGGCAGACACAGAGTTATATACCATATTAAAGCAAGGGAAATGGGTGTTCTCCCCACAATTATTTTGTTGTTAAGTTCTCGCTTACTAATTTTGACCAATGAATCAGTCTAACATCTGCTATATGGGAATCCATTTTTATATGTCACCACCAAATTTGGTGACGGATTGTTATAGTCTCCAACTTTTTTGTGGAAGGTGGTCAGTACAGGTTTCATACCCCACAATGAATGTCCAATGTTTAGTGGAAATATCTGATTTTTTAGGGGTTTTATCTAAATTCTAAATTGTTTGCAAATTGATTTAAATTATACAGTTCCTTTATGCAACCTTAGCAAGTACTGTACATGCGATTATAGGCAACAAGACATCAATTGATGATGATACGTTTAATGCAGAGAAAGAAATACAGGAGCTGTGGAGTATGGAAACATAAGTGATAACGCTAAAGAGATTATCGGCAATATTTTTTCCTGAATTTTTTGTATGTATACTTGAATCTCTCAATATTCTACCCTTTTAGATTTAAATTGGAAAACCACACTGTGCACTCAATATGGTATAAACATGTATAGTAGTTGGCATTCTATACTTATTTATCATACATACTAACAATTTGTATACAATTTTCAAGTCATCACTTGGACGATTGTAATTTAATTCTCCGCCCTATAAAGATTCAGGTGGCGTAAGATTGAGAGGTTGATCTCGAGAGGATAAACATAAACTACTGTACGTACTTAAGTGGCGCTAAGTGGATGTTGATAAATTGCAAATCCGTGTTCTTAATGTTAGTATCCATTGCGTCATTTAGAATTCACAATCAGGTCTAGAACAGTCCTTGTAATTCACTGCAGCACTGAACATTTCAGCTAGTAAAGTTATGGCCATAAATGACGAGTAGAAAGGTCTAAAGGTTTTAATATTTCAGTGCCACTGTTTGATGATAAATTCACGCAATTATTTTGACTTCAAAGTAGGCTTAGTAAATTCAGACTGTATATTAAAGAACCTTGTATGCTGAATGGATATTACTTTCCTTCAGTCTGTCAGTGTAATGATACAAACTATCAAGAAGAAATATATCTTTCTATTTTTGGCTGATACATTCAATGAGAACAGTAAAACCTGAGTTAGTGAACACATCTCTCTAGTGAACACCTATCAACAGCGAGCATTTTTATTCAGCAAAGCCTTTTTCTCCCATTGACTCCCATGTTAAAGTACAATCCTATAGTGAACGCATAATAGCCAACCGGCATGTATTGACTTCACCACATCAGTTTGAATACTTGATCTAAAGGTCACCTCCAATGGGATCCTTGCATTTATCAGCTTTCTACCAGAACAAAAACATATCCTTCAAAAACTACTCAAATTATAACATGTGGGTGTCATTTTCTATTTACCAATTTGCTAACTCTAATTTGACTGTCCATGTGCTGATGCATTCAGTTTGTAGTTATTGTAGTAGCTTTTACAAGCGCATTTTCAGATTTTCTCAATGTTTTTAGGCGATAGCATTCTTTTCCATGCCCTTAAGCAGCCTTAGTAATATTTTTTACACCTACATTTGGGGTCTTGTGTTTTCCATATACCAATAAGTGCTATATACGTGTTTTATCTGTTGAGGTCTGCCTCCATTTTTTGTCACCACCAAAAACTTTTTTGTGGATGGTGTTTGGCAGTTGGTGTTTGCCATTCTGCATTTGGCGTTTTGAGTCCATAACAAAAAGCGGGTGGTGAAATTTTTCATATTAATGCCTTGTCTAATCATTAA